AGCTTGTAAACAGATCTCTAGAACTTTCTCATCATGCAAAACTGAAACTATATGTACTCCTATACCCAATGAATAACTTCTCTTTTGTCTTCCTCCTCTGCCTCTAGCAACTACCATTCTACTTTCTGTTTCTAAGAGTTTGACTACTTTAGTTAGATCTTTATATAAGTGAAATCATGCAGTATTTGTTTTTTTTGTGCCTAGTTTATTCCACTTAGCATAATATCCTCAAATTTCATCCATGTTGTAGCATGATTAGTGATATTTAAGTTATTTTTTGGAAATATTAAATCTCACTGCATTTTCTATAAAAATAAAATGATTTACAATTTTTGCCAGCCATAGAGATAAGTCATTCAGAATTCACTTGAAAGAGAAAAATGGGGGGCATCTGGGTGGCTCAGTGGTTGAAAGTCTGCCTTTAGCTCAGGTTGTGATCCCAGGGTCCTGGGATGGAGTCCCACATCGGGGTCCTTGCAAGGAGCGCTTCTCCCTCTGCCTGTGTCTCTGCCTCTCTCTCTGTGTCCCTCATGAGTAAATAAATAAACTCTTTAAAAAAAAGAGAGAGAGAGAAATGGCCATGAAGTATGCAGTCATCAATGGCTTCTAGCCATACCTTCAGGATCTACCTCAGTGTGTAGGCTGAGGCTATACCAATCTCATGGGGGCTCTCAGCTAGAGGCTGCTGAGATGTTTCTCATTTGAAAACAAATGCCATTTGTTTTCCATTTGTTAGCTGTTTCTGCTCAATCCAGGACTCCTCTACCCACAATCTTTACCGTAGAGATCCCCACCATGCTGGGCCACACTGCCTCAGAACTGTACTACAGTCAGGGTATCTTCCTTCCCTAACTTACTTACTTTCCTCTCTGCCTTCCTGGGTGTCAGATGTACTTTGTGGTCTGAAGACTTTCCTGACCCATTCCTTCCTGCTCCCTTTTCTCATTAACAGATATTTCCCCAAATAAATCCCTTGTACTTCTGACTTTGTCTTGGCATCTGCTTCCTGAAAAACCAAAACTGGCACAACTTTTTAGCATTTAGTATCCAGTTAGTTGACAGCCTATAGAGTTGGTATTGCATTCTATTCATGTTACATCTAGGCCCACATATATACAATATTTAAAATAATATGAATTAATATTGCAAACTATTTCTTGGCCACCATTTGCAGTTTTTGTGGACACAACGCTCTGGAAACACAGATTGAAACATGAGGAGAAGCAAGAACATGGGCATTTGCACTACTGAAAAATGATATTTTGTTGTGCAAGAATCTATTACATTCAAGTTACCTAAGAGCAGGCATGCAAAAGTTAATTAATTTGTCTTTTCTTTACTAAACATTTCCGCTACTCAAATTCTCACACTAAAGCAGTGCCCATCTCCAATGTCTATAGTGGTAAAAACACACAGACGTTCAGGGCATTCAGATCCCAATGCCTATTGTTCAAAAGTACTTTGGGCAAAAGATGTGGATAAATATTTTGCTACGTCCTGAACAGTATTAGCCCTGAGGATAGAGGCATAATGTCATAGGTTGTACTAGATGAGAGCCAAGCTCTGGATCACAGTGGCAGAGAACCTTATATGTTTTCTGTGTCTATGAAATACTGGTGCCAAAAGCCAGTTGGAAAAGGAAAAGAAACCATGTTGCCTGGATCTAAAGATCTAGGTGCTGACACTTTAAAATGGGTATCCAGACTTCTGGGAAAGAGGGCATAGTAGGAGGATCCTAGGCTCACCTTGTCCCATAGATACACCTAGATAACACCAACATCACTGTAAATAACCCAGAAAACAACCCAAAGACTGGCAGAAATGACTCTCTGCAGCGAAATATAGAGAAGAGACCACATCAAGGAGAGTAGGTGGGAAAGAGATGCAGTCAGGAGCCAAACTGACCCAAAGGCATGGCCACAGGAGAAAGGGACCCTGCAGGTTCAAGGAGGGGAAAGGATCAGACTCCACTCCAGTACCCCAGGCACAGAGGACCTGCACCACGCTGACAATTCCCCATAACATTTGACTTTGTAAACCAGAGGGGCTTAACTTCTAGAGTTCTTACCATAAGTGGGGCTTAACACCTGAAACTTTAAAAATCAGTGGGCTTGGCTCTAGGAAACCTGGAGAGTGATGGAAAACTGAGTAACTGCTCTCAAAGAAATAGCACAAGAAATAGCCCTGCTGAGATATAGCACAGAAGTGGTAATTTGAAAGACACCTGGAGTGTATGGGAGGGCGATTTGTTTGCTAATCTTAGGGCCTCTGCTGCAGGGGCAGGGATCTTTGGGAGACTTCTCTAAGAACAAAGGGGGTGGCAGGTGCCATCTCCACCTCTCACCCCCCTGCCTAGATACACAAATCACAGCATGAACATTCCCCCCCTAGCTTGCTAACAGCATCCCCACCCCTGCACACTTCTGGAGAACTGCCCCCTCCAATATGGCCACCTCCCATAGCAGACCTGTACAAACCTAGCAAACACTACACACCCCACCTCAGTGCTCTCCTGCACCCACCCCCTTTATTTGTTTTTTATTTTAAAGATTTTTATTTATTTATTCATGAGAGACAGAGAGAGAAGCAGAGACACAGGCAGAGGGAGAAGCAGGTTCCATTCAGGGAGCCCGACGTGGGACTCGATCCCGGTTCTCCAGAATCACACCCCGGGCTGCAGGCGGCACTAAACCACTGAGCCACCAGGGCTGCCCCTCCCACCCCCTTTAATAAACATGGCAGGGTGCAAGCAGCTCCAAAAGTGATCAGTATCACTCCAAATTGACTCCTGCTCCTACAAGAAATGTTAAAGAGGACTCTTTGAATGGAAAGTAAAGACCATAATTAAGAGTAAGAAAAGTAGGAAGTTTCACAAAAGGAGTAAAAATGAGTGTATCTGTAATAATTAGTAAAGGGATTCACAAAATAAAAGGTTGTAATGTATGACTCCATGTACTAAAAATGGGGGGTGGGGTAAAGAATGGGTTCAAACTTAACCATTAACTTAATATAGGCTGCTATATGCAGATGTAATATATAAACCTAATGGTAATCATAAATCAAAAATCAGTAATGGATATACAAAAGAGAGAAAGAGAGGGAAAGGAATCTAAGTATATCAGCAAAGAAAGCCAAGTTAAGGTGAAAAGAGAGGAAGGGAAGAAAGGAATAGAGAAGAACTATAAAAACAACCAAAAACAAGCAACAAAATGGCAAAATATACATACCCATCTATAACTAACTTGAATGTAAATGGACCAAATGCTCCAATCAAAAGATTTAGGGTGACAGAATATATAAAAAAGACCCATCTATATGCTGCCTATGGGAGACTCATTTCAGACCTAAGGACACATGCAGATTGAAAGTGAAGAGATGGAAAAGCATTTATCATGAAAATGGAAGTAAAAAGAAAGCCAGGATGTGATACTTCAATCTAACAAAATGGACTTTAAAACAAAGACTGTAACAAGAGGCAAAGAAGGACACTGTATAATAATAAAGAGAACAAGCCAAGAAGATATAACCACTGTTTAGATTTGTGCACTCAACATGGGAGTATGCAAATACATAAAGCTGCTAATCACAAATATATAGGAAGTAATCGATAGTAATACAATATAGTAGGGGACTTTAACACCCCATTTACGTCAACGGACAGATAATCTAAATAAGAATTCAACAAGGAAAGAGTGGCTTTGAATGACACATTGGACTAACAGATATATTGAGAATATTCCATCCTAAAATAGAATACACATTCTTTTCAAGTGCATAGGGAACATTCTCCAGAATAGATCATATTTTGCAGCATTATTTACAATAGCTATGATATAGAAGTGTCCAAGTGCTCACTGATAGATGTATGGATAAATAAGAGGTGGTATAGATATACAATAGAATATTATTCAGCCACAAAAAAGGAATGAAATCTTGCCATTTGCAATAACATAGATGGAGCTAGAGAGTATAATGCTAAGTGAAATAAGTCTATCAGAGAAAGACAAATATCACATGATTTCACTCATCTGTGCAATTAAAGAAACAAAAAAGAAATATTGTATAAGGCAGGAAAAATATTCAAGACAAATTGCCAGAAGAGAGGGAGCTGCTAAAAGAGAAGGAAAAAGCTCTGGAGATCTTCAGAAGCATGCTCTTGAGTATTTCTGGTTGACTATTATTCTTTGAGTGCTGAAAGGAAACTACCCAAGGTCAGGAAAAGAAACATGGGACATGAGAAGTCCTGACAATTCCCAGAGGTCATGTAGAACTGGGAATGGTTTGTTTTGTATCAGCCTGAGTGGAAAGATTTCATAATACATGGGGCATTGTGTAGAATCCTCAAAAGTGGGCCACCTTAGTAGTAGGGCTAAACTATCTCCTAACTAAAGGTGACTCTAGATTTTCCCTGACAGAGAGTCCTTAAAGACAAAAGTGAAAAGGATCCAACTGGTTCCAAGTAACTTAACTATGTGCTGGGACAAAATCCAACACAATTTTAAGGAATACAACAAAACCAAACACTCAAAAATATGAAGTTCACAATGTCTAGCATCCAATCATAAATTACCATGTATGCGAAAGAAAGCAGGAAATATTATCTATAACCAGGAGACATTTTGACTTAAAAAATAAGAAAAGAAAAATATGATGAGTTAGCAAAGATATTGAAAGAGTTATTATAAATATTCAAGAAGGGAGAGAAACATGACCATTATGAGGAGAGAAATGGAAGACCTAAATCCTAACAGGATCACGCCCTGGGCCAAAGGCAGGCGCCAAACTGCTGAGCCACCCAGGGATCCCTGGATCTTCAGAATTTCTTAATGAAAAGGATAAAACTACTGAATAATTAAACTGTATTAGTTACCTACTCTGTATAACAAATTTTTCCAACCCACGGAGACTTGAAAGAATTCCTGTGTGTCAGGAATCTGAGTGCAGCTTAATTGGGTGCGTCTGGTTCCAGGTCTCTTAGGAGGTTGCAATCAAGCTCTTACCTAGGGTTGTAGTCTCATCCAACAGCTTGACTGGTGGTAGAGCTGAGATCCACTCCACAGGCCATACTTGTGGTTGTCGGCAGGATTCAATCACTTGCCAGCTGGATTTTTCCACAGGGTTGCCTCAAAACATGGCAACTGGCTTTCCATCGTTAGTGATGAGAGAGAGAAAGAGAGAATCTAAAACAGAAGACAGTCTTCTTATAATCTCAAAAGTAACATGATGTTGCTCCTGCCATATTTTATTCATTAGATGTAAGTCAGTAATTCCGTTCCAGAGCACTAGTGGGGAGTGCCCACGGGCATGAACATCAGATAGTGGAGATCATTAGGTATTATTGTAGAGGCTTCCTACAACAATGGCATTGGAGTTTTATATTTTTGAAATGATTGTCTGATAAATGGTCTTGATTTTTAATAAATTATTTTGCTTTTACATAGTAGCTAATATTGAAATGCTTAGGTTGGGTCAAGTTTTATGATCAATATTTTAGGCACTGAGCCTGTAAAATATACATACTGTTTTTTATAGGTTCTATATGTTTCATCTAGTAACTTCTCTTTCAGTAAATTAAATAGCAAACTAATTTCCACAACTCTCAGTTTTTTTAAAGTATTAAAGAGAAAGTAAATTTTCATGGTGAGAATTTCATTTATTATATATTACATAATTGGCCTAAATATTATACACACTTTGGCCATTATATATTTAAATATGCCCTTTCCCTTTCTCCTAGGACTTCAATTACGCATGTATTAGAATACTTGATATTGCTCACAATCATCAATGCTTCGTTAGTCTTTTTTCTCTCTGCTTCATGGGAGTGGTAGAGGGAGAGAGAGTCCTTTTTTTTAAAAGATTTATTTAAATAAGATACTTATGGGTTTTTTTATTTTTTTAAGATCTTATTTATTCATGAGAGACAGAGAGATAGAGAGAGAGAGAGAGAGAGAGAGAGAGAGAGAGAGAGAGAGGCAGAGACACAGGCATGGGGAGCCCGATGCGGGACTTGATCCCAGATCCTGGGATCACGTCCTGAGCTGAAGGGAGATGCTCAACCGTTGAGCCACCCAGGCATCCAGGGAGGGAGAGTCTTAAGCAGATTCTATGCCGAGTGGGAAGCCCATTGCAGGGCTCAGTCTCATGACCCTGAGATCATAACCTGAGCCAAAACCAAGAGTCAGATGCTTAACCAACTGCACCACCCAGGGGCCCCACTCGTGGATAATTTTCTATTGCTACATAACAAATTAGCACAAACTTGGAGCCTTAAAATTAGCAATGTGAAAGTGATGGTTCTTAAATATCAACCTGGAAGCAGATCTGCCAACAGAAGAACGTGGTTGAGCGAGTCCAACCAGGAAAAGGAGAAATGGAACCGGCTCCCCATGCCGCCCCCCAGCCCTGGTGTTCCTAAGGCAGCTGCAGTGGCAGAAGTCAAAAGCTCAGGTACAGTGAAGGTCTTCCTGAGGCAGTGGGAGAGACCCAGATCATCTGGAACTGGTGTGGAGACGTGACAGGATTCTACATGGACTTGTGCTTTAGGAAAACTGAAGAGGCCAAGAAAAAAAAGCCAGACAAGATCTAAGTCCTACACTCAGGATAGACCAGGTCCCTGAAAACAGTCTGTGAGAGAAGTGGCTGGATCATGAATAAATAAATAAATAAATCTTAAAAAGAAACTCTGAAGATCCTTTTTATTTTTTTTTAAGATTTTATTTATTTATTCATGAGAGACACACGGCGGGGGGGGGGGCGTGCAGAGACACAGGCAGAGGGAGAAGCAGGCTCCATGCTGGGAGCCCAACGTGGGACTCGATCCCAGGTCTCCAGGATCATACCCTGGGCTGAAGGCGGTGCTAAACCACTGAGCCACCCGGGATGCCCTGAAGATCCTTTTTAGATAATATAGGGGAAAATAATCCTACTTCCTACTTTGTGTACCATAGTATTTTCATGGGTCAGTAAACAAGTCAACATGTAGCAGGCTTTTACATGAAGATTCAAAATCTAATAAATTAATAATTTGGCACCACAACATATTCAACTATTGTCACCAATAAGCAGTAGGATATAGAGAACAGAGTTTGCCAGGAACCAAAGTAACACTTGGTTCATTTTATAATCGTAGAGAATTATTAGGTTCTTTTAAAAGTGTTCCAGAGAGATATCTTTAATTGCTGGTGCTATGTTCAAGTTAAACAACTTTCTACCCACACAAATGGGTAAAATTATGTGACTCACTAGTTCTCCCACTGAACAGAGCTCCACAAAACCTTTGGCCATCTGGCTAAGATAGCACCTTTGAGACTAACAACCTAAGGCTCTCTGGGACCTAATAATTATATCAGACTAATATATATAGCTCTTACTGGGTAAATAATGTCCATGCTGGAGACATAAGATAAAGAAAATGATGATTAAAATAGCATTGGTTTAAAGGTTAAAGCTTGTATTATTCATCATTTACAGTTACATTTGTTTCTCACCAAAAATCTTGTGTACTAAATGTTTTATCACAAGCCCTTTTTACCATGCTTATTCTTTGCTATATATTTAGGACAGGGTTTGATAATTCTAGAATTCAAAAACAATTTGACACAGAGTAACTGCTGGTTCCTTATGCTTGCATAAAAAGTAAATAGATCTATAATAATAAGAAAAATCCTACTACCTTACTGCCTTCTCAACCTACCCTTCGCTGGACTTTGGATTTTTTTTTTCTATTCTACATTGTTTAAGGCATTTCTTTGGGGGGGGGGGAGCAGGTTTACTCTAGCTTAATGAGCCAAATTCTTTGAGCCAACAACTACCTTCCTTACAAGCCCATAAACAAAATTGACCATATTTGTTATGGGAAAAGGCAGTCCAATGACATGGTAATGACTGCCTACTGTGGAATTTTCATCTCCTGCAGAAATTTATGGCCCCATTCACCACAGCATCATATGCCTCCTAGAAAAAGAAGCAATGGGTAGTTTATTCCTGTCTAGAAATTGATGTGTAGCCAGGGGTAACATGTGCACATTCACATCTGCCTAAAGCAGGGTGTCAATGTGCCCATGAATCAAAGATTCTTTAGTATTTTGAAATCACAGAAAGTCAGAACAAGCTACAAGAGGCAGGTTTTGGTAGATAGGCTGCACTTTCCTGAAATACATGCCTTGATCTTTTGCTGCTCCATTTCCTGGGCTGGAAGTTCTCTACAGGTTTTTTTCCCTCTAATATTATAATATTTGTGGACCAGAAGAGTTCATTTACGGAATCTTCCTAAGTTGTGCTAGCCATATGTTAAATCCTTGATGTTATATGATATTTTTCATGGGTGCTTTGGATTATGAGACACCGTGTACGTGGAAGGATATTACAATATAGCTATGGCTGGCAAGGAGTCATCAAAACTAGGTGAAAAAAGGAAATAGGTGAATGAAAAAGAAAACATAACAAAATAACATGTTTAGCAAAGACCACTAGTGGTGTTCCAATTTCCATTCCCCCCATTTCCTTTATATTAGAACTTCTGATTTTATATATTTTTTAAAGATTTTATTTATTCATGAGAGACACAGAGAGAGAGAGCGAGAGACAGAGAGACAGAGACACAGGCAGAGGAAGAAGCAGGTTCCATGCAGGGAACCCGACATGGGACTCGATCCCGGGACTCCAGGATCACACCCTGGGCTGAAGGCAGGCGCTAAACCGCTGAGCCACCCGGGCTGCCCCGAACTTCTGATTTCAAACAGCCATTGGAAACAGATATTCACCAGTAGATATGGTCATTTGTCTAAGTCATAGCCAGTGAGATATAAGGATTAGTATTATATGCACTATCTGGGGAGAGTCTTGCTGGCTTAAATGCAGACAAGATGAATGGAACACAAGTATCCATCCTGAACCATGAGATGGAACTTGTATGACAAGGATGGCAGAGCAACAATATCGAGGAGGCCTTGAACCCTGACACTGTGACTGATGTCTACATCAGCTCTGAACTATTTCCAAACTTCATTTACATGACAGAGAAATAAATGGATATCTTTTTTACATTACTACCATTTTGGATTTTCTGTCATCCACAGTAGAATTATTATTGATGACAAAGCAGGAATATTTGTACTCCATTTTAATAAAGTTATGTAGGTGTGTGTGTTAGGTCCAGCCACCTAACATCCATTCTCTCATTTTAATATCATTCTGATTTCCTTTTATTGAACTGCCACTCTGTTGCTGTGTGAGGCTGTCGTGGATGGTCATTCTCTCTTTAATGCATCCAAGTCTCCTTTCATCAGGTCCTTCTCACAGTCCTGTTTCAGTGAGAAGCAAGGCAGGGTGTTTTAAAGCTCAGTCCTAAGTCCTCTTGATTTCTTGACTGTGCTCTCCCACAAAGGAATTTATCATCCACACCAGCTTCTGCTGTATCTATAAACAGAGGGTCACAAAATACATCTCTAGCCTTAGCCTGCCCCTTGAATTGTTTGCATGAATCAGTCAGAAATGAGTGATACACTCAGACTGGCACAATTTGGGTGGGTAGACAGGGTATAGGGAAATTAAAAGAGGTAGCACAGTGTTCTGGAACAAGCAAGAATGCAAGCCAGACCCAGGCTTGAATGGGAAGGTGTCTGACAAGAGCTGTGACCTTTGGTTCAGAGATGCAGCCTTTCCACAGCAACTTGGCAGGGAAGAAGCCAGGAAAACAAAGACCCAACTCACTCCTTTTCCTCCTTTGATATCCTGTTAGTGCACCCCCACTGAACTAATGTGATCTGAAGCCAGGCGCTTCATTGATGCAGGTCAGCCCCATAGGACTGCAAGCAGGGTGGAGAGGTGATCTGGAAGGGCAGAAAATGTGGGGAACAACCCATATATCCAGTTACCTACTTAACATCTTTTGATGTCTCAAGGCACCTGAAATTCAGCATGCCTCAGATGAAACCATTCATGCAACCCCTCCCAAGATTTAGCCAACTGATCTTCTTTCATTATTCCAATCTTAGGAAATGGCATCATTACCAATGTATTTATGCAAGCCAGAAACTGGAAATTATTCTTGGTCCCTCTCTTCCCCTGTCCATCCATACTTAGTCTATTGCCAAGTCCAGCTACTTTTATGTAACCCAAATTCAGCAAAACAAAACAAAATTCATTCTCTCCCAGTTCTTTGATTCTTGAGAACAAA